ACCTCGGCAGTCGGCGTGTGTAGGGGCTGGCGGGCAGCGCCCGCTCCGCGGCCGTCAGGCAGGACCGGTTGCGCTGCACTCCGGCCGACGGGGTTGTCGGTTTGCCGGACAACGGCCCTTCGACGGCCGGACTCGCGAGTCTGCTCGGCCTCGGTGGAGTCGCGATGGATACTGACTCAAAGTTGCCCGATGCCTTATTTCCCATCACTCAGTCCATCGGTCCGCTGCCCTGACCAGAGCAACAGGACATTCGGAGGCCACGAAGTTGTCTGCTCGCGCAATGCCACACAACGCGTCGACTCTGAGCTCGGCCGGACGATGGATGGCGCCGCGGTGAAGCTTCGTTTTCGGCCACCGCGATCGATAAACAGGCCTTCAAGTTTAAAAAAGCCAGAAGCCCAGCAGCAGCAGCAGCCCGCCAGTGGCCACGCTCGAGGACGCCGCGAAGCTCTCATCGCCTCAGTCGACACGACAAGGCGCGTAGAGACGTTGTTTGTGCAACCCTGCCCTTCGCGACGTGGCGACACGACGCGGATGCCGCCTTCTCGCTGTGACCAGACCCGTCACATCGGCACACACCAACACTGAGTTGACGACTTCTTCGCACAATCCCGCAGTCTTTAGTCTCGGTTTCCGACGCCACCAGCTTCTCTTCGCCTACACGTTGTCATGACACTCTCTGACGTCGGACCGCGGACTTGGTGGACTCTCGCACGTTCTGCCGGCGTCGTCAGCGAGGAGCCTTCACCTGGTACAGCTCATCGCTGGAGCTGACGCCACGATCGAAGTGGATACCACGAGGCTAGGGGCCTTCAACTCAGTTGGGGAAAGGAGGCGGAATCGCAAAAGTGCTTCCGTAGGGCGAAACGAGTCACATGCAAGAACGTAAAGTAGGAAAAGCGACCGGCGTATAATGGAAGCGGTTAAGGATGGGAGAAAGTTCGTAGCAAAGAAAGAGAGAGAGAGTATTTTTGAGTAAAATCAGAGCAGGTGGCGCTGGCATTCTTACCTAATTCAATTAATTGTGTGTGTGTTTAAATTCTGATTGGCTCCTGGGCAATTGCCTAGCTTGGCCTGTTCAGTTCGATAGATCCAATGGGAAAGCTGTTGTGTTTAAATTTTGGGTGGCTGAGTCATGATAAAACGGGTGTTTTTGAGATAGGCCATTTGCATACGAAAAATGCGATGTCCTGTAACAAGGCTAATCGATGTGGTGCCAAAAGCAAACAGAGCAGGCAGAATGCTTAGCTAGGGCACATTGATAGTCTCCAAACCGACTCTCATTAAATAGAACTAAAATCAGTTACTACTCAGCTACTCTACTTATATACGAAAAATTAAAAGCACCCACTTCAACGACAAATACGAGTTCGCCTCATTGGCAATCCCCCAATAAAAATGTGATATGTACTGGGCCTGAGTTGTCGTGTCGGTTGCAACTGTTCAGTGGTTGCGCGACAAGGTGATGACGTGTCGACACTATCAGATTTCGAATCGCTTCGGGGTGCTGGTGCGACCTGGGCGAGGTCGAGACTATGAAAAAATGTATTTTAGTCTTTAAAGCTAAGAAAAACTCAATAGCCATTTTGTTCTATTGTGGAAAATTCAATTAGCACCCATTAACTTAGCTTAAGCATCATAGACTGAGTGATCTTCTTGTTTAAATTATGAAATATATTACTGATTAATCAAATGAGTAGTCTTTAGAGCGGAGAGGCAACACTTATGAGTAGTCTTTAGAGCGGAGAGGCAATCAGACTATTTTGTTTTAAAAAATCTTTTGTATAACGAATGAGCTGTGTTAAACTTTTTCCATCTTAAAAGGCCTGCTTTTCATGTATATACTGCTTTCGAGGTACTCTCCTTCGACTCCGGTGAAAACGTGCTAAGTTTTCGTCCATCATATGACGAACATCATCAGAGAAGGGTATCATCTTTACGACCAAATTCAAGCTAACGAGTCAAGAAAACTCACCGGCTCATCCCTCGTTAGCTTGGATTTGGTCTTAAAGATGATACCCTGCTCTGGTGATGTTCGTTCTATAATGGATGAAAGCTTAGCACGTCTTCATCGGAGTCGAAGGAGAGTACCTCGGAAACAGAGTCAACATGAATGTCCAGTAAAGCCAATCGGCAGCTGGTCAAGAAGTAACCGCCATCGTCTTCTGGTGGGATCGATCTACCAATCTCTTCACCAAACACTTTCCCCAAAATGGAATTGAGCGTAACAATTATGAAACAAGAGAGTCGTCAAAACCGAAATTTTCCTCGAATATTTACTTTTTCACTTTTTAGTAAATCTAAATTATTCAATCGCCAGAGATGTGTGGCCAAACTGACTGTAGAATAATATATTCATATAAAAGTAGGT